ATGTTCCAACCCCCAACCTGGAGGGCCAGGAGACTGTGTTCGTCAGACCTCTAACCATTGACCAACCTGGTATGAGAGACTCTGTGAGTGTCGCGGGACACTCTCCAGTATAGCTCAATGGATCGCTGAGGTGCGCAAACCGTCACACCACGGTAAGGTCCAGTCTCTTCGTGACGGACAGTCAAAATACTTTTAAAGCCAAAGAGTTCAGTGCTGTTCAAAAAGCATCTGTCGTACGCAGCCGCATCAGGAATAAGACAGTAATGCCTTACTCCTTGCGCCCCCGGGTTAGGCCAACTCTGCAGTCAAGCACGTCAGAATTTTGAGTCAGAGGCTAGGGGCAGGGTCCCCGAACAAAACCTTATATCCTCCCACTGCCTTCTGGGTCAAACATTTGAATCAAAGGCTCAAGACGGGGTATACTAACTAATCCCTCTTCTTCGGCTTGGGCAACCGGAAAGTACCACTTGCCCGCGCAGTTCGGTGTCCACTCATGTCCCTCTCCAACCCATTCCCACCACACACGCAAACGTAGCTGGGCCTTATGCTCCTCGCTGCCTATTAACGATAAACAAAATAACACCTTTCGAAATCCACGAAATTCTCTCTGTATAGGAGCTTTCGAGGCCTTTATGTCAAATTGGTAAACAGGCAATGCTTGCTGAAACCTTATACTCCCCTAAAATTGATGTATTCTGTCTCCGAAACACGCACACAAGACCCAGACGTGGTTCTGCATCTCAGAACGCCAAGAATAAACTCAGCCCTTTCACATTTTCTTCCTTTCCTCCATGGGTGCCCAGAAGCGATGACTCGTGGAATATATGGAGCAGGAGTTGCACTCAGTCACAGAGCTAAACGAGCTTTGCTGGATTAGATCACAGTGAACAATCGTCTTTGCACCGTCCAGTTATCCAGTTTAATCAACCTCAATACCTCCCGGCATAAAAAGCGGTGCCTGTTTGTAATGTGAGCTTACGTCCCAGCGGACTGCAGTTCTGATGCTGAGGATGCTTTCTACCAAGAGCTATCCATCCTTACTTCTTGAGCAAGAAGCGCAGAGATTGTGATCCTTGTGGGCGACAAGAATGCCTTCAGTTGAGTACGAACTATCAGCGTAAACGTTTGCATCTCGTAACCTGACGACCACCAAGTGCAAATCAACCGTGGAGCCAGTTGGATTATGTGGTTACCAGCCACCGGTAAAAAGTCACAATTCAAGGCTCTCGTTCCCTCGATCACGCCATGGTGCGAGTATCCCTGGCAGTTCGTTTTCCTTCAGACTCCTGAACGCCAGCAAGATGCATGCCAATCCACCACCCTTGAAGAACTGTCATAACCCAACAGTTGAGCTAGCTCAACGACTGTACGGTAAACCAACACTGTGCTCTTAGCGAGCACATAAACGAAGCATGACAGCATATGAAAGGAGTTATGCTAACGGTGTTCAGTACTATCTGTCCGACAAATGAGCACTAAATATCGTGGAAATCGCTACTCCTTATTGATGCCAGGAAATCCATACCAGCAGGCAACGAGTACGGTAGTGCATGTAAATTACTCAAACGCCAAATAGTGAACAGTCTAGGGAAGGACCGAGAGCTCTGAATGACAACGAAAGCTCGGGCGAGGGAGAAGGCTTTTGCTACAGGAAAGTCGTGCCGCATTTCAACTGATACGATCGATCGGCCCTAGGAAAGCAAAACGATAAGTAAAAAAGATGGCCCGTTAATTCACTCGCAAAAATCGCCCACTTCAAAGAACTGCTTAGCTAGCCTCTTGCGACACAGCCTGTGGAGGTAGTGCATACGAGCGAATGGAATGTAGCCCTTGATAGCCCGTTGGAGATAAAATACGAAATAACCATACTGAAACGTGAGAAGGCACCAGAACCGGACGGTGTGTCGAGCCCTCTTCAAAGGCTGAGAATCGCTGGTGACCGATCTGACAAGGTGTTATATGGAAAGAAGAGAAAGTGTCCGCATAAGGGGGCATGTCGAAACTTATCTCTATCCTCAAAAACGGCACACAGACGCTGTGTGAAAACTACTGTGGCATCAGTCTATTAACTGTGGGCGTCGGTGCTTTCTGGCCTTATCCTTCGAAGGTTGGCTGAACACAAGGAGATACAGATTCATGAAAACGAAGTTAGGTTCCGTCCGGCAAGAGGACGCATCAATCATATCTTTACCCTACAACGGATTCTGAAACAGCAATAATGCTCCCAGCGACCAACAATGGCTGTGTATCTTGATCTGGAAGCTGTCTTTGACTCTGTGGACCGTCGGGCCCTATGACAGTGACTGTGGAGCTGGACTCTCCCCCACAAATTTTGACCCTCCTTAAAACGCTGTAAGACAGCACCCTCGGACGTGTGAAGGTCTACGGGAAGCTCTCTTCTGAGTTCACCACAGCGAATGGCGTCAGACAGGGCTGTTCTTTTGCTTTTTCCCTTCAAATTCGTCAATGATACGATCATTGAAGACCGCCTATCAGCCTACAACGCCTGTGGGGTCAAAGTGCTCCGGGGGGCCCGCCCACAGATACGCAGACGATGCAGCTCTTCTTGGATATGACCCCGTGATAATGCAAACAACATTGAATAATCTAAATAGTTCTGCTTCGCGGTTCGGCCTGCGCTTCACAGCTGCACAGTGCAAAGTGCTACTGGAAGTCTGGGTGGGCACATGCTTCAGGACGAACCGATTGAGGTGGTAGACAGATTTGTTTACCTGGGCAGCTGTATCAGTCCCGGTGGTCTCACGAAAGATGATATTTCCATCCGGATGGGGAAAGCCAGAGCAGCTTTTGTGAACATACGTCACCTGTGGCGTAGGCATGACAACAGCTTCTCTCTCAAGGGTCGAGTTTACAATGCTGCGGTGCGCTCCATATTACTGTACGGATCAGAAACCTGGCCGCTGCGCGCTGAGGACGTCAAAAGACTTTCAGTATTTGACATTCTATGTCTTCGGAGCGTCGCCCTAATCTGGTGGGAACACCGCATCAGCGATTCTGAAGTACGTCGAATGGTATTCGGGAGAAATAACTCACCCTCGATAGATGAACTGATCCCAATGCATAGGTTGCGCTGGCTTGGCCACGTGTTGCGTAAGCCAGTCGACCGACTTCCTCGAGGGGCTCTTTTCGCACAACCACGTGAAGGGTGGAACAGAGCCAGAGGCGGCCAAGCAATGACTTGGCAACGAAGTATGAAAGTCATTACCAGCAAACTCAGCTGAGCTGGTCACTACCGTCCTCCTGGATGCGGACCCCGAGACGGGCTACATCAAAGGTTAAAGACAATCAGACATGGCACAGTCGCACCCTCAATGGCGCTCGCGCATCCAAGTTATTGTCTTCAGTGCATAGCTCCTTTCCCAATTGACCCACGTAACAGTCCACTGACAGTACTCTATTTACACATTAACTTATCAGCTCCCGCTTCTAATGCACAGTTACCTAGCGAAACTCCCCCATACCATCGGTGAACAAAACTGCGGTAGCTACTCCCAACAAGCAGGCGGTTTTTAGATCTAATAATAATAATAATAATAATAATAATAATAATAATAATAATAATAATAAACAGTCCACCTCCTTTGGAGTTGTGTTAGACCGCTTTTGCAGCTTGTGGCTGCTTAAGAACACTTAAACAGTCCACGCTGACGGTTAAAAGACCAGTACGATCCCTCAAGTTTACAGCCACCAGATTCGGATCCCTCTGTCAGAATGATTGGTAGTTAGCCTATAAAAATCCAATGGGGCGCCTTCAACTGCACTTCCAGTCCTGAGAACTATCCAACAGCTACATGAGCACCAAGCATGTGACCTAAATTCAAACTTAGATGAATGAGGACAGAAAACTCAGGGGTATTTGTCAGCCCCATATTTAAACCAGACCAGATGGTGACCAGCTATTCCAGCTGGTATCCAGTTCAGATACGCCCCGGTTACCGCAGTACTGCTAGACCTAGTAGCCATCCCACAAGCGCCGACCATGCCGGCGTTAAGAGGCTTTAATTGGCATTATAGCACTCTTCTGGAGGCTATTTAACAAACTTGCTGCCTCAGAGACCGACAAAACACTGATGGCACCTTCTGAAGCACAAGGTTTTCAACCTTGTGCCCTCATGTAGTAGACGTCTTTGTCCCATTAATCAGGAAGGCGGGGAACCGGTAGCAGCACATGCTATTACAAAACTTCACAGAATATGAAATTGACGTAGTGCGCGAGTTTGCGAACGTTCCAGTACAGGCGGCTGCTCTGATTTTCCAAGAACAAAGTGGCAATGTTAACTGCGTGTCCTTCGGTCGAGATAAGGGCAGTTGCAACGATTGCCTGTATAGATTCGGAAGCCATAACGAGTGTGCCTCACTGGGGTGCGCCAACAGTCACACAAGCCAAGTTATACAATGGGAACGGGAAATCAGCACATAACTTCGGTGGAAATTTGCTACTGTTCGCGTAGATTTGTACAAATCTACGTGTAAATTAAACGAGGTAAATCGAATGAGGAATTTCGCACAAAACGGAAAAAATATAAAGGCTGTGATATTGGTGATATCCTTGAATTAAGGCTTAACAATCGGAAGAAATCAGAAAAAGTATCCGGCTACCGAACTCACCAAAGAACTGCTGCTCATACCACCAGCGTCACAATTACTAGGAGCAACCTCAGAGGATTGTTCCCCAGTTTTGGATCCGATCAGTCGTTATAGAAAGAAGCCGCAAGCTATAACCTTCCAACAATTGTCCCAAAACCACCAAAGGCCTCGGTGATGGTGAGGTGCACCTCTAAGGAAGCGAGCAGTCTGTCTGTACACTTTGCTTACGCCCAGTAATCAACAGCAAATACCCTGCGTTCTGATTGGTTGGGGTTCCAATATGTTCAGGCATGGAGCGTTAACATCTTGAAGTGAAATTAATTCAAGAGATAACATCTCAAGCCAAAAAAATAAGATTTTCGTCCGTAATTCCGGTAAACTGAGCGGTCGTTAGTTGTTCTATGTCACTGGCCTTCCCATGTTTCTGGTTCGCATGGTGCTTTGAATTAATTGAACTGAACCAGACGTTCAATTTTAAGTAAACTTTCTGTTCGTTTGCAATTTATTTTCCGGCACATTGAGCGTCATTCGCATGCACGCATATTAATAAGCACTCATCACAAGTAACATCCTCTACCATAGTCTTAACAGATTGTCCTTCTCCCGAACAAACGCCTTGGTTACACTATAAGGAGCTCACCGTGGATATCCAAAAACTAGCGGTTGGAAATAAATATAGTCAAAGCGAATAACGAAAACAACCCAAAACAGGCGGTCACGTAAACGGTCCTCGATGCAAAACGTCTTTTCGTCTGTTCGATGGAAGATTTTTCGTGCGCTACAGCATCGGTGTACTTAAAATTTGGGACTTCTAGTTCGCAATACTGGACTGGCTTCGATTCTGAGTGTATCTCGGCAACGAAAATTCCAAATCGTAGGACTTAGCGGGGCACTTGCATTCGAATCCAGTGACATGGCCATAAAGGCTCCGTCCTGGGACCAGTGCTGTTTCTGATCTACGTCAACGACCTCCCAAATGTTCTTCCAAGTCTATGTCTACTTTTTGTGGACGACTTGAAATCCTGGAGTTCCAATCCAAGTGCCCTCCAAATGGATGTAGGCGCTGCTAAGCAGTGGTCGTTGGACTGGCACCTTCCTCTGAATGACGAAAAGTGCGCCATATATCGTTTGGAGGAGACTCAGCGAATGCGTTTGTTATGTATGGTGGAAAAGGGCCAGAAAACATCATGAGGATAGGAAAAGGATCAGAAAACATCATGAGGATAGATGCCAAAAAGTATTTGGGATTTCTCACTGCACCATGAGAAATCAGCCGAAAAGGCATTTGCCATTTTACGGATAATTCGGCGCACCTTCTCTCATATTACTCGCCATTTTACGGTTCGGCGCACCTTCTCTCATATTACTCGCATGGACTTCTAAATACTCTATGGCGCCTGCATCAGACCGCTCCTGGAGTACGTACGCCAAGTTGTCTACTCAGAACGCACGAAAGACGGCACCCACATTGAGCGTGTCCAGCGGGCCGCTACGAGAATGGTTGCCGGCCTAAAATATGCGGACTATATAACGCGTCTCGCGATGCTCGACCTCTTTCCCTTGTATTACCGTCGCCTTCGAGGGGACCTAATTCTTATTTATGTCCTGTTT